AAGCCCAACCTAGGTCATTTTTCAATTCCATGAAAAATTCCAGAAACTAAGGGTGGAGGAGTTATAGTCGTTGAACCCATAAGCCAATACCCTAAATCCGATGCGTCAGCACCTGAACTATGATCGACCTGAATGTAAAAGTGCAACTTATGAATTATTGTTTTATAATTTATTCGTCTTCCGGGTTTGGACCGTGTCATTTGTGAGTGACCCAAAAGTGGGTTCATCTCGACGTTTCGCTACAATTGTATGTAGCTTCTTCAGGAGAACAAAGAAAAAGAAAAAGAAAACAAAAGACAGGAAGATGGGTAGTTAGCAACGGTAACTCAGTTACTCAACGCAACCAGAGGCGAATACTAACTACCAAGATGGGCATTTGGTCACAGTAACTCAACTACTCAACGCAGCCAGAGGTGAAAACCAAATGCCAGGACAGGGATTCACGTCCAACAGCTCAGAACACTAACGCGTCGAGAGGCGGGGAGTGAATTATTGTTTTATTTTACAATGTGTAATGTATTTTATTTTATGAATTATAATTCAGTCTGATTTGAATCTTTGTACTGTGAAGTCCGATTTTAATATTGTGATAAAGTTCTCGCATTTGTAAAGTAAATAATTATTTTTTAAAAATCGTCCCTGAAGAGCAGAAACTATTAGTCGGGTCAAAATCACCAGTGTACAACCAGTGCTTAGTTTGTACCAAAAATGAAGATAAAAAAATCATTTATTTTCAATGAATGCTGCTGAAGCATATGCTATATACAAAGCCCTTGAATTGTGCTGTGAAAACCAGTGGAACAAAATTGTCATATTCAGTGATTCACTGTCAGTATTACACTCCTTACAAAACTTTAAATTTACAATCAATAGCAATATATTCATATTACAAATTTTTTAACAGTTACTAAAACTATCAGATCCATATGGTACTAAATTTCTATGGGTTAAGGGACACTCAAATATTTTTGGCAATACTATTGTAACCTCGGAAACCTTTTTTGGATGGTGATAGAAAGGTCACCAATGGAGACACTGCGGACGGCAGCCAGATGGTTGGTGGAGAGTGAGTCCTGAGTTCGAAACTAGCTTTTGGAACCGGGAATGGGTCCAACGGACGAAATAAGTAAAGGTAGAACAAGATAAGATATATTAGAAAAGATACAGAAATAAACAAAAAGATAGATGGGTAAAATTACCAAAAATAGGATAAGATAGAAACAGGGCGCCACTGAATTTTTTGGGGTTTAAGGAGAAAATTAAGAAACCTTAGAAAAACAAAGAGATAGAAAAAGATATTTTGGTTCTGAGACCAAATCCAAGAAAAGTTAATTATTAAATAAATTTGGTCAACACACTACATAAACAAATAATAAATATATTAGGTATTATACCTACTTACCTACGAAATTTAATCAGCCTGATCTTTCTCCTGGTCAAAGGTATAGTAATAATTAAAGGTAAAAAGCAAATATTCAGAGTTATTGTTATATCAGGAAACTTCTTTAGGAGTCGAAAAATAAAATTCATACATAAAACAAAAACAATATATTTAACAACACAATTATATAGGCGGCTGAATGTACACAAAAGTAATAAAAAATCAATTGATCAATGGTTGTATACATATAAAAATAAGCACTAATATGAATAATAAGTACCTTTACAAATACTTCTTCTTCAGTGCCTTATCCGATCCGGATGTTGGCGATCATCAAGGCTATCATGGTTTTGTTGACTGCTCTGCGAAACAGCTCCGTTGAGGTCATCCCAAACAATTTTCAAATACAATACAATTTACAAATACAACAATATAATAATGCACAGGTTCAATTATCAGCGAAGAGAGCCTGATAGTGAGTAAAAAAAATTCAATCAAAGTTGATTAAAGAAAGTCTCTCTTTGCTGTTTAATGGGCATATCTCGAGATACTAGGTATAGTAAATAAAAGAATTAATAACAAAGCACACAAAATTAATTAAAGTTAAATCCAAAGAATACAAAATATTACATAAATACAAATTTAACCAAACCGCACTTGGTTGTTGATTATCTGTTCGCACTGTTATTTATTGATTGATTGAGAACTAAATGTGGGTAATTATTATTTATTAGAATTTCTTAGTAGCTGATGGAAAGTTCGTAAGAAAGTATTAAATGTTCTTTAAATTGAATGCAAAAATCAGTAGTTACTCTCAACTACAGGTGAAGAAATGGATGAACTTAGATTCGCCCAGATGATTGAAGATAATATGATACCATACCATATTATTCACCCAGATAAGTGGAGATACTATGATTATTATAACTTACAGTAATTCCTGATGGCTGCTACACTACACTGAAGTTAATTTACTTTACTATAATACTTTACTTGTATTAAGCACTAAAGTTAATTAAAATTAAAGGTACTCCATACCAATATTTATTCTAATATGATATTAGATCAAAAAACTCAAATATACAAGTGTATACACACTTAGAAAGAAAATGCACAGAGACGGTAAGGTACGGTAATCTAGACACGCGTCCTCCTTCAATGATCGCCACACGAAAAGTAACTCTTTACTCAATGAGTGCCCGCTCAGAAGTAAGTTGGTTCCTCTAAAATTTTCACAAACTTCCACAAAAAGAAGGGATATCTCACAACTAAAAATCATAGGCCAGTCTATATCTTTTTCTAAGAAGATAAAGTCCTAACGACCATCGGAAACTTTGAGGTAATTTGGTACGAGAGGAAAATAAAATCCTTTGGATTAGGTTATTATAGAAAACATTACAACGTGCCCCCGACGATATTTATCAAATTTATCATAAAGGAACCCGGCCTTAAAGCCGGAAGGAATTAATCGAGGATTACCTAAACCGTCGTCTTTAATAAGTCGGTTCTTCCGTATTTTAAGGTAGTCGATAGGTTCAATAAAATTTTACAACCTATTTGCGAATACTACCATGGGCGTATCAGCAACGAAGGTAAAGGGAATAAAAATAATTAATATTTTAATTATATAAAAAAAATGTTACACTATTGCTGATTCTATAGCTAAAAATCCATTACAGCACCCACATATGGTGATAGAAAGATTCAACACATGTGACCTACTTACCTATATCAAACAACATATTAAATTTAAATGGGACAGACGATGGATTCAGTTTGGTAAAAGCAGGAGCACTAATTTATACAAATCACAACCAACAGTAGATGTAAAACAATTTTACAAAGATGTCACACTAAGCAGAAACACAGTGTCAACTGTTTTGAGATTAAAAGTAGATCGTGGATGTTTTCCGAAACATCTACACATAATAGGAGTTCTCCCAACAGACCAATGTGAGTGTGGAACTAGTATAGCTGTTAAATCACATATTTTTCAACTGCCCACTACATCGTAATACAAGCACGTGGCTGCTAAAAGAATTGATAAAAGAGGGTTTAAGTACACAATTAAACGTACATCTTCTATTAAGTAAAGATAAGATAAAAAATTTTATAGTCATTATGATATTTCTTGTAAAAATTAAATTAAAGGTATGAGTGTAAAATTGATCGTATGCTTGAACATTTCCTTTGTATGTTTACCATATATGTTGCCCACCTACCTAACCGTGGATTATGTCTTGTTTGTTACAATAAGGCCGCTCTGATGAATCCCTGAGCGTGAAAAGTGTCCTCCTTGTACAATCCTGTATGAATGAATACTAATATTCATATGTAATTACGTGGCTAAATGTTTCAAGCCAAAGCCAATTAAAAAAAAATTAAAACAAAAAAAAAAGATTTATACATAGTACACTAGTATACCTTATACACTTAATTGAGATTAAATCATTTATAAACGCTGACGTTTCCTGCTGAGAATATACATTACATTCAACTAGTAATTTATCATTTAGCACTCGCTATCTTTCTATTTACATCAATCACTTTTTCAAGCAAAATAAAACTTTTCTCGAATAAAAAAAAAGTATTTATATAAGGAAATATTTTTGTCCAAAAATATATGTAATAATATATATTTTTAGGGCACGTTAGCGCTAATATGAAACATAAGAAAGGTATAATGAAAATGATAGCACTGAGCAATAAATCTAAAATACGTATGAATCTGTAGAGTTGTCATTAAGTTGAAAAAATGATAGCTTGCTCTAGATATTTTTTTTCTTGATGTTTTTTATATTCACGCTCGAGATTCATTTTTTATCTTCGCTGGTGTTATTAAGTACTGGTTGCATAGGTTAAATTGATCCTTCTTCAGGACAAAGAAAGATATATTAAGTTCTGTGTTGAAAATATCCGAATACAAATGGTAGTCTCCAAAAGGTTTATCGGCTTCCTTACATTGTTTAACATAATCCTTATGTAAATCTGCAACACTTTTACCGCCTTTTCAATTTTCGGAATTGATTGAATATATTCTCGGATGTCAGTTTTTGTATTAGAATCTACTTTATGATTTTTACCATCCTTTTCTCTTTTATATTAACTTACTGATCTGATTTCGATTTATAAATTCCCTTTTTTTGTGAATAGTAATCAAACTATAAAACTCATTAAATATGTGCACTCTCTCATCTTGTTTAATTTTCTTGCTACATTTGAATTTGCATTTATTAGAACATGAAGGCTGTACGTTTTTTGATGGTATTACTTTTTTGGATTTTAAACATAACATATTCTTTACCGATATTATGTAACATCTGTGTTTTTGATTCTAGCTCGATCAAGATGGAGAACTTCTAAATGAAGATGACGAAGAACTATTTTGGGAACGATTTCCGAAGTGGAAATTGAAAGGGCAATAAACTTACTTTAACCTTTAATTGTAGCTTATTCCCATTTAAATAGTATTTACTTAAAAATGCTACAAGAAAATAGCTTCAGAACAATATGAAGAACTATTCGTTGAAGATGACGACCTGTTTCATGAAGATGAATCAGAATCATGATTTGGATCTTTAATAATATCATTACTATTACAATTTTTCAGGTTAAAAGATTATAAGTTTAAATCTTCAGTATTACTAGTTACATTGTGTTGGGTATTTATTGGGAACAATTTTATATTTTGTTCAACAGCATTAAGATTATTGACCTTTTGAAGATTTTCAAATACTAAAGAGTCTTCTTCATTTTCTTTAACATCACAAAGTTTTTTCGCGTCAGAATCAGTAGTAGTAGCATTTGACACATTAGGACACATTTGACACAATCTATATTGTTTTTGCTGAAGTAAGGAAACAATGATAATGACTATACTTGTTTCTCTTAAAAGGGAATTTCTTTTCTGCAATTATTTTCGATTTCGATAATTCTATTATTTAAGTCGCTACATAGGGGTTTACTTTCCACAAAATCATTTGTCATGTCTGAACCAGTAGTAGTACGATTTGCTACATTAGGACCTGTCTTCATTTTATTGAAGAAACGAAACTATAATGAGTACTCCTCTGGTTTCTTTTTTTTTTAGTGAATTTCTTTTAAGCACTAATTTTCTTCTTTGTTAATTTGTTCATTTTGATCGCTGCATAGGTCAGCCTTCATTTTAGGACTTGTTCCTGAACTCATTGTATTTGTAAAAACAAAATACACTGTTTTGTAGTTTATAAATTTTTGTAAAATTCCGAAATTAACTGTATTAACTAAAATCAAATCATACATTGATCGTACATCCTCAAAAATTATATTCACAAATATAAATAATAGCATTATTCGTGGTACAATCTCGGACTAGTTCCGGCTTGCGTCACAGAACTTACAAAAATATATTGTTTTCTGAGTTTGCAATCTTTACAATAAACTCTTGTTTGGACCTGATGATGGTTTCTTTTCCGAAATAATTCCAGTATACTTTACAGCCGTATATTAAATATTTCTGCTTCCAAACAATTTACAGAGTAATTTTACAATAACAAATATCAAGGATCCATTGCGGGTCATTAAAACCAAATCAAAACGGGTATAAAAAGCTCAACTTCAAACTTAAAAGATAACAATCAAAAAATGCAACAGCAAATGAACGATGAGATTTTGAATCTAATGGACAAAAGACTCAAATTTAAGAATTAAAACGTTGAAATATATAAACGAATTGCAAAAGAAACACACCTTTGTACTACAGGGAAAGTATGATGCATTTAATATGTGTAGGGCTGGAGTGAAGATAATGGTATTTAACATTTTTAGCGAATTCGACTTTTTATATATAAATAATGGTAAATGTAGCTAGAAACAGATTCCTTGTGAAGATTTATCAATATCTTAATAGATGACGCTACAGTAGCACCCTAACATCCTCGTAACTTACAGTCGTCGTGACGAATACAATGGTTTTTGTCATCATGGCGGCGAACAATAAGTTGTTTACGTCTTTGTGTGAACAAAATAAGCGAAAGTTGCAAGAAATATGTGACACAAATGGTAGTTCAGAATGTGATGATAGCGATAAAGTTCCAGACTACAGTTTTAACGAATATATTGGCAAGAAAAAGTTAAGTTTTTGAATATTTGCTTCCAACTTGATTTACCTTGAAATAATGCTAATTGTGTAGATACCATTTTTTACGTATAATGACGAGACTAACGAATATAACCAATTCACAAGCAGTTACCATTGTTTTCATCAATTTACATATGCAGTGATACATTGTAAAGATCGAGCTAAAATGCATTTAAATGCATTTAAATGCATTTATTTTTTTCGAATATTGACCAAACTAAGTATTTTTGAAAAATTTAAACCCATAGTGAAAGACTACATTCTGAGCGAGGGCCGAAAGTCCCTGAAAACTTCTACAATGTGTATTTAAATAAGTTTTGTGTGTGTAGATAGTGGATGGCATTAGAACTTGTCTATTTGCCACAAAATAATTTCAATAAGTTACGGGAGTGAAAAAGAAGAGAAAATTTAGTGTTAATTTTAATTTCAAATATCTCATTCAAAAGAAACTTTTCGCTTATTCTAAGGGACTTTTGACCCTCTGTAATAATGTAATCTTTCATTATGTATTTAAATTATCAAAAATACTTATTAGTTTTCTCAGGATTCGAAAAAATGAATGCATTTATAATGCAGTGGCCCGAAATTTGCTTACGCTTAAAAATGTTCTGTTTGTACAAATTTAATTTCTTTTGCAGAAACATCGTAAGATATTGCCTACACCGTTACCCAACCACAATACTAATGCAGTATCTGGTGAACCTGACAAGGAAAACCCTGTTCGAGGAAGAAAAAGGAAACGAGCATGTAACATTGATCAGAGACTTTGATCAGAAGTTTTGGGAGATAAATAATTTTAATACCCAAAATGCGTATTTATTTGGATGCATGCGGATTAAAACAAAGGACCGCAGTACCAAACTAAAGGAGTCGCTTACCCGAAGCAGTCACTCTGTCGATTATTTAATAACAACTACAGGCAACACAAGGTATCAAATTTGTAAGAAAGCATTTCTTAATATTCAATGACTACAACATATTAGGGGTAGAGTCGAGAATATAAACATCAAACAAGGTTTACTAACGCCGAAAATGGATTGAAGAGGACGTTATGCAAATCACAAAAAAAAAATTTCTAATGAGAACATCCTATTTCTTAAAGAATTTATTGAAAGACTCCCAAAATATAAGAGTCACTATTCCCGAAATGACAACTGTAACACGTATTTTATGACAATGGACTATACAATAGAGAAGTGCTATGAGATTTACAAAATTGAATGTCTATCGCAAAATCAAGAATGTATATCTGCTGACAAGTTTCGAAGAGTATTTACTTACCATTTTAATATTAAATTTAAATCACCTAAATCCGACACGTACCACATATGTGATTCGACAAAAACACAAAAAATCACAAGAGAGCAACGAAACAAATGCAATAACATTTGAACTTCAACAAGCACTTCCAACCCCCAAATTGTCTACTGGTCCTACATTTTATAAAAAGAAACTTTTTTCTTACAATCTCACTCGTTGTATCCCTTACAAGGATACTTTTATTTGTGGGACGAGTCAACCGCTGCTAGAGGTGCAGACGAGATCGGAAGCTGTCTGCTTAAACACTTCCAGATGCACAATATTAAAGGACATACGTTAATAGTTATCTCTGATAACTGCATCGGCCAAAATAAAAACTGGTCTTTGATTGGAGTGTGGCTTCGTTTACTAGCTCTGGGAAATTTTAAGGAAATAATACATATTTTTCCACAGGTCGGACACACAATGTTAGCATCAGACAGAGAGTTTGCTGTTGTAGAAAAGTACGTACGAGCTCATTGTCAATATGTATATTCTCCAGCTGAGTGGAAAAACATACTAAGAACATGCCAAAAGAAAAATCCATTCATAGTTTACAAGATGAATCAAGAAGATTTTTTAAAAGTGTCTGAAATGAGAAACTATTTTGTACAACCAAAGTCTACACCGGCTAATCCATGTAGTATTAGAAATACTATGCGAATGCGCTTCTCTGCTGAGAACTTTGAACAAATCGAAATCGCTGATACATACAACGGTGAGTTTAATTCATAATTCAAAAAGAGGAAGAACTGGGATCCTACAAGAACATTTTATTCGAGATCTTCAGAAAAAATATGCTACACGGCTTGGTATTGAACCTAGTAAACTTGAACATGTACTTTCGTGTTTGGACTGGATTCCCAACGTTCATCACAAGTTTTATAGGTCATTATTTGCAAAGTCTCTGTAATGTTTTTTTATTTCTATTATTGTTTCTTGTGTTTATTTCTAATAATATTGTTTAGTGTATTTGTTTCATTTTTATATCCTATGTGCAATTCAATAAACGTAAAAAATGGTAATACTCGTAAATTTAAAATTCGTTTTCAGCGGTGAAGTTAAAATAAGCTAGTTAGAAGACTAACAAGTAGACATGTGAATATACTGCTATAACAAATGTCATTGCAACAGAGCAATCAATCGGTAAACTTTTAAGTTCAATTTCTGAACATTTGTAGAAATGTGACTTACCATTATCTTCACCCGAGCCCTTGATGTATAAAAAAAAAGTAACGGTTCAGTACAAAAAACAAACAAATAATATTATTATTGATTTTGATAAAATGGATAGATGGCAAGAATACATTGGAGAACATTTTAATAATGAAAAGCCCGATCTTGAAATTAAAGAAGTAGTGACAGAACCTCACATAACTAAGGACAAAATTAAACGAGCAATTAGATTAACAAAGACCAAAAAAGCAACGGAGCCGGATGAAATACGGAGTGAAATAATAAGGCTCTTCAAAAGTTCAGATAAAAGATCTCTCTTTAATTTTTTTAATAAAATTTATGAAACGTTACCTAAAAAAGCATATGCGAAAAGATGTAGTGATTACCGAACCATCAGCTTGATAAGCCATGTTTTAAACATATTTCTTCTAATGTTGTACTCAATGATGTACCAAAAAACAGAAGAACAACTCAGTTTTGGTTCCGCAAGAACCTTGGAATCAGAGAAGCACTATTTAGTTTTCAGATTATAGTACAGAGATGCAGATATGTCGGCCAATCAGTTCATATGTGTTTTATTAACTTTTAGAAAGCCTTCGAGTGCCTAAAATATACTGAAATGATAGCTATTCTTCATCTGGTGGGTATTGATGCAAAAGACATACGTATCATTAAAAATCTGTACTGGCATCAACGTGCAAACATCATAAATGGCCAAGATAATTCTGAAGAGCTTAATATATGAAGCATGGAAAGATAGGGCTACATTTTCTTCTCACTAATATTTAACATCTATTCGGAATTCGTTATCAATAAAGCATTGGATGATGTTTAATGTGGTATCAACATTAATGGCATCAATATTGATAACTTTAGGTACGCGGATGGCACGATGTAATTTGAAAATAATTACGAAATATTTTAACATCTGATTAATAGAAATACGATATCGTAAGATGAATATGGACTGAAGCTATTCCACAAAGACAAAGGTGATGTTTGTCAGTAAAACGCCAATATAAAAAGAAGTGGTAACAACTTATGGAGAACAACTGAAGAGAAGCCTACATCCCTTTTCCGAGCTACCATCAACAAAGTTAGTAGGTATAGCCTATAATATAGCCCAAAGAAGAAGATCTAATATTATATCTGTAATATTTTGTGAAATATATCTTTTTAAAACCCGATGATTCTTTTATAGCAACCCTTTATTCTAATTTAATTCTAGA